CCCAATCTCGCTTTAAGATGCTCTGCAGTATGCTTGGTAGTGGATGTTACTGTTTAGGTTGAGGGATCTGCAGGAACCAGCGGGAGCCTGAAAGAGTTTCCAACTCCAATCTCTGGAATCACAGTTTGCAGCCGGAGGTCCTGTCATACCAGGCGGATGCATCCATGTAAGCATGATTTAATGATTTACATACGCATATGCAGGCAGGTAGTGTGGTGGGTAAGGCAGGCAGGTAGGTAGAAAACTATGTGTCTATGTACCTATGTAGTATGTGTGCGTGTATGTATGCATGTATGTATGCATGCACGTATGGATGTATGTATGTGTATATATGTATATGTCTATGTCTATGTCTCTGTATATGCAAATGTAGGTATATGTGCATGCACATGCATGCATGTATGTATGTATGTATGGATGTATGTATGTATGTATGTATGTATGGGTGTATATCTGTATGTATGTATGCGTGTATGTATGTACGCAATGTAATGTGATGTGATGTAATATATGTAATGTAATGTTATGTAAAGTAAAGCAAAGTAAAGTAATGTAATGTAATGTAATGTAATGTAATGTAATGTAATGTAATGTATGCATGGATGTATGTATGCATGTATGTATGTATGTATGTATGTATGTATGTATGTATGTATGTATGATGTACTTCTACGGTATCTTCCAGGTATGCCGCATGGCAGACCGCTCGAGTGGGAAACCATATGTTTCGATCGACTTTCAATGTCATTATTTGCAGCCCAGGAACTGGTGGTCTACGAGTTGAGGTTCTTGTTGGTGTTCTTGCAGGGCAGCAACAACAAGGGCGACACATGGATTAGACTGCTCTCAGTTCCAGTACTGGGTCCCCGTTCTGGCTGCATTTGTTGTTGTTGGTTTGCTGCTAAGCCCGAGCCCTGACGTCTTGATGTCAGCCCGAGAGTCGAAACTCCCCTGAAGCATAATACAGGGGCCTTAATAGCTACCAATACTGTTTTGGGGGGTCCTTATTATGATTGTAGTACAACGCTCCCCAAACCCTATTCTAATTGCTAAGGCCCCTACATTAACTGGTTCCATGTTAGTCTACCTGAGCCAGGGATGGGTAGCGGTAGCAGCGAGAGGAACGTGACAGCTATATAGGAGGCCAGGGTTGGTGGTCGACGAGGTTGCTGCGACTTTCAGGGCTTTCGGGTGATAGGGCGTCTGTGCCCTAAGAAACTATATACAGTATAAACACAGCGCCGAAGTGTCCATCGGCAGCGAAAATTTGATATGTTTCATATACGATTGTCTCTGTTGCCGTTGCCATCATCGTTCTCCTGCTGACCCTTGTTCATTTAGGCAGCTGCAGTCTCAACCTGGAAAGCAGACGTAAGGGTGCGCAGCCCTACCTGCACCGCAGGATTTTTTCCAGTGCCCAGCACCTTGGAGACAGCGTGAGCTTTAGCGTTCGGACTTGGCGCACCACATCCGTAAAGTCTTTATTGGTTTTGCCCGACTTCCTGTTGCACTGCCTAAACCCTGAGCCTGAACCCCGGGTTCATCGCCGCTCTTGCGAGAGCTTTGAGGTGTGTCGCCTTGCAGTGATCTCAACTGCACCATTTGGGGTAGTTGACGGCCTGGCCAATTTTCCATGCCGGTTGTAACAGCAATGAAAGCTCGCTTTCAGAATCACTGCTGCTGAAGGGGCTGGGCACAATATCTTTATGCCGCCCAGGTCGCCGGTGCGTCAGATTGCCACAGACTGCAGAGTTTTCCCTTTAATCTGCAGGCAAGAGTCGCATCCTGCATCACCAGCATCTGTCTGTTGAGGATGGATGCGATGGAGTGTGGCTGTCAGACATTCGGTTCTTGGGATGCCCTGTGTCCCGAAGTAAGTCACTCGCCTTCCAGATAGCCGGAGTAATGAAGCGCGAGCAGGCACCTCAGCCCTGGGTTGGCTCTGCATTAGCCAAAGAAGCTGATTGAATTGGACCTTGGCATGTGGAGCATGGCATGGCAGACTGTAGATAAATTCAAATTCTGTGGCAAGTTAGGACCGGAATTCGCCCGACTGCTGCTTGAGCTCGAGCTCCTGAACACATTCCATAGTCCCCCATGGAAGTCATAGGTCACCAACGCTTAACTTGTCACAAGTTACGTTCCTCTGTCAACAGCATCTAAAGCATAATACGCACATATGTGTACTAGACCCAGGACAAGAAATTGAAGGGTAGCAATTCTTTGTGTGGACTACGAGCACCGGTGGTTCATGCTAAGACCAGGAGTCAGGAATCTGTGTTTGGGATGTAGTATCCTGCGATTTTGCAAAGGGTGGATCAAACACTCTAAACCCTAACCCTTAAAACGCTAAACCCTAACCCCTAAGACCCTAAACCCTAAGCGGACCTGCAATCAGTATCACTCCGACCTGCGACTATGGATCCTCGCCTGGCTTGTCCGAGTTGTGAGAGCCTAAACCCTAACCCCTAAAACCCTAAACCGTGAAGCCTAAATATTGGCCCCAAAGCTGCTCTTAAAGCCCTGTAGTTGCGTCTGTCAAAGCTTCTGAACAACCCTGCAATGCGGGCTCGTCCTTGCTAGGCCTCGTCGCACGGTAGAGTCCAGGTAGTGGACGTGGGCTCGGTCCGGGTGCGAGAGTCCGAACCCCAATCCCCAACCCGGAACCTGACGTGAATGCTACTAGTAGATATACTATGATGCGCGACAATAAACAGCAATAGTATACTAGAGTGTGCTAGGGTTTCTTGTATGATAGTGTCATAGCCCATCAGAGCTGAACTGGAAAGTGGAGCTCTGCCACTGACAATGTGTCGGGAGCAGACAGCCATTGCAGCAGTGTCGTTCTGACCCGGGCCTGTGAGCTCCTGTGTGAATTGACAAAACCCGATGCCTGAAATCAGCTTTTTGGCATTGGTGGGTTTAGGTTTCTTTCCGGTTTAGTGTTTGGGGAGTTTTAAAGTCTAGGATTAGAATTTTCCGGGAGGCGAGCATCAGTTTGGCTGCTGCATATCGGACATCTTTCAGGTGTTGTCCCGGAATTGGGGCACAGGCTTGCCCAATGTTTGCGGACATGATGTGATACTTCAAACAGGAAAGCAACAGAATTCTCCAGGTCAGGTGTCATGTTGTAGCTTCAGGGAGGTAACAGTTGTGAGACTCAGCTTTCGCATCTCGCCGACACCAAGAGCCAGAACAGTTACGCCCGTTGTCATCGACAAAGCTGCATGTAAACCACCAGTCGAGGCTCATGTGTCACAGGGAGCAGACTATCTGCCTGCAGCCTCTCGGAAAACTTATGCGACTTTCACGGACCTTGTGCACTCAGAGCCCATGCTATCAGCTTGAGTGCTCCTCGGATGTTTTTTTTTTGCTGGTCTTGGAGTGTAATTAAGACTTTTGTCATTTAACTTCGGTTTGCCAGAATCGATCAAACGAGATGTCTCACCACAAAAGTCAACCGACCGAATTGCAGCCAATCCCCAGTCCTTCATGTGCACCCCAGGCCCTAGTTGAAGTTAGCCTGTAAATATGCGCGAAACCTACACCATGCCAAAAGATGTCGTGTCGTGCGGCCTACAGGAGATAGTCCGTGTCATATTGCAGACCACGGTAGAAGCCACGTTAAAATACACCGCGCTGGCAGAGGCCATCCCTGTGCGCATTCAACCTTGCCCGTCTCCGGGCTTTGCCCATCTGAGCACCGTGCCAATGCGGGCCAGGGGTCTCGTTCAGAAGCGCCCGGATTGAGCGCTTGAAGATACCCTCCAGTGCCTAGTGCAGGGGCGGTGTCCAGAAAGCCCTGAGGATGCAAATGTGGGAGTTTCAGAGACGAGGGGACCTTAAGATAGACCCGCAAAAGAAGCGCCTGATTCACTCAGTCTCTAAAACCCGAAGTAGCTCGACAGCTGCACTGTTTGCGTGCAGCTGAAGGTGCGCTTAGGCCGAGCCTTCCTGGAGCCATTCAATGTGTGAGGGTTGTGGGCCTCAGGGCCATAGGAATACAAGCTTTTTCCAGGGTCAAGGTTGTAGGTAGGGACTTCGGGGTTTAGGCCCAACCGTTTACCTCTTCTTCGGCGCCACACTTCAGTATCGAATAGTCAAACAACCGAAGTATCTTGAGAATCAGCCCAAAGCCGAATGCAACAGATAGTAATAGGGTCTAGGGGTTTAGGGAGTTTAGGGTTAATACTAACAACAATGCCATAATGCTACAAGTAATTGTAAAATAAAGCCATGCAGAAGTCAGCTTACAAAACGCAGAAATCAGGGCCTGCGCCTTGATGCTGGCTCCGACTGGCGAAGCCGGAGGCACAAGGTGGATGTCTCCACATCCGATGAAGAGATGGAGCCTTAGGGCCTGGGGTTTCCCCGCTGAGTCGGAGCAGAGCCTGGGTTCAAAAGGGCCTGGGGTTCAGAGGTTTAGGTTGCCTGTAATCTGCAAGGTTCAATCAGAAGTGGAGACATGCACGAGTGACCCGCCCTTCCCCGCTTTCGGCAATTTAAAAGCGCAGCCGAAAGACCCAGGCAATACCGCAAAAGACCTGGAGATCAGCGGAGACAAAGCTGCGGAAGACTAGCTGTGCGGAGCCATTCGATGGGTAACCTTTTCATACATGCAGCCCGAATGAGAACAGCAAGCAGTTGCAACTAAATATTAGTATCAGGACCGGCCATACTGACAGTAATGGCGATGAGATTTCGTGTATTCAACGAGAGTTATCATACAGATACTAAAGCAAGTTATTGTAATCACGGATTGCCAGATCATGTTCGATCAGAAAGATCTGATCCCCTGAATGCTGCACGCTCCGGGCTTACACCGGGACTGCTTGCCAGACCAACTTTGCCTTTCCTCGAAACCAAACTTCTCATCCTATAGACCCAAGTCATGAGACCGACGAATATGCCCACAAACAAGTCGGCACTGAACACTGCCCAGAACCAAGGAGTCCCCATGGGAACGAAATTGGTGTAGGGTTCTGGATAAAACCTGGAAGGACCTACAAAGGCTTTATAATCATGGCCTTTCACGCAGCTGCGCGAATCCATGCCGCTTGGCCTCAAGTCAGATTGAAATCTGCATCCCGACGCACCTCAATCAAGCGCACACACGCTAGTAAATATCAGCCGAACGGTTCCACAGACAAGGTGGAAGTCGTGTGCGAATCCAAGAAGAGGTGGTTTCGTGATTCCTCAATCTGCTAGTGCAGAACTGGCAGGGGTATGTTCAAGACACTCGTGTCAAGACACTCGTGTAACGTCAGCTGAAAGCTTTATAATTGTCTTGCCCAAGTAAGGTCTGAAGAGTTTTTTGGTGTAAAGTTCAGTGACATCAGCGCAGACGGTTTCCATAGCAATCGCAAGTGCCCGTCGAAGCACTCCCAATTCTGTGTTCAGCATACGAGTTCAGCGCATTGCCAGCTTTTGGGGGTGCGCGTGTGTGTGTGTGTGTGCGCGTGCAGACTGGCAGCTTCTTTTGTGGCTCGTACCGGAAGGCTGGCAGACACTTCAGGCGGTTGTCGACGTTGGCTAAGCCTTCTGCTTTTGGCCGGGGTTTTCCACTTGGATTTTGCATCTTGCAAGGCAGTGGCAGTGTGGACTCCGGATCTGCTTTCACGATTGTGCGATTGACCATCCGATCCCACAGTGGGAATGGACATCCCTGTGTAAGTGGCTCGTCGTTCATTTAGACTCTCTCTCTCTGTCTCTCTCTGTCTCCGTTGTTTCAGCCTGTCACGAAGCTGTGACGAAAGGACAGAGAGCGATCTAAACTCCGAGAACCCCCTGCACAACCCCGTACAAACCCAGAACCATGGATAGGACAAGGGGCTTCCCAAGACCGGAAGTCTAAAGCTAACGTCTCTCAGACCCGTCCTTCAAACCGGCAGCCTGCAACAAATCTGACACATCCAGAGGTATGTAGCATGGGAGCCTCAATATGTGAAGCTCGACATTCCTGATATTTCTGTTCTTATTCGCAAACATCCCACCCCNNCCCCCCCCCCCCCCCCCCCCCTGAGTGATTATGGCTTAGAATTGAAACTGAACCGTAAACCTCACAACCCCCAAGCCTTACAAGCACTCACGAAAAGCAGCTGAATAGTCCTCTCCGGTCCGGCCCAAGAGGGAGTCTCCAAAAACCCTAAGTCCAGCAGCAGACGCTTCTAAGCCCTAAAACCCGCTAGACTGGAATAGAAGGAAGTACAACACAACGCCCCCCTAAATCCTGAAGTCCTTAACACCGACATCGCAGTTGTGGGTCCTCTGTGTGTGTCTGTGTGAAATCTAGCCAGACGATATTGAAACAGATGAGCAATGTCTCAACCTGGCGGCGTAAACTAGCAACATGGTGACTGAGATTTGGACATGCTGGGTGGTTCAATTAGGGTCTCAGATGGTTCCTGTGTCTCTGATGACGTTCTTTGTCATTCTTGCCTGCCTCGTGCGAGTGCGAAAGTCCGAAAAGCTCAGGAGGGCTTACGCTGGTGGACTGCGCCGGTTCACATCGGCG